AACACTATCTGTAAATTGAAGATGAACATGAATACATATAGTGAGGAAGAATAAAAAAAAAGTTTTTTTTCCCTATCGTATCTAAATTACTTTTACCATTTCATTTTATCTATTCATGCATGAATATGTGCAGTTTACATGATGCTATAAATGAATTTTCATTTTGATTCGCGAGAAAACGACGTTGGAGTGAAATCTCGATAAGGAAATGGGAAATAAAACAGCAATTAGAAGTTAATGGGTTTTGATAGAAAAGCTTATATTGCTTCTGTTACTGTTCTGAATGATGAAATCTTTTTTTTAACTCCTAGCTGAATACAGCATAAAAAAGTTTTTGAAATAAAAAAAAAATTTTAAGTACATTTTTTTTTTCATGTTTCTCTCGATGAAGTAACAGTTTGACCTACTAATTCTGAGAAAATTTATGGTTGTTTTAAAAAATCTGTGGAGTTGTAGAAATAAATCCATGTGAAAATGGCCTGTTTGTTCTTAATTTCTTTGCAAATGGCTGGTAAAATGATGGCAAGAATTTACTAGAAAATGATGCCATTAATACAATATGATAAGTATGGAGTTTTACTGGGTAAGTAAGATTAAGTGATTTGGATGTTGATTTTATGACGGAATTATGTCGAATGCTTGAATTATTCGTTGGGGTTAATGACATTATGAAACTGACAATTTGAGTGAAATTTTGATATATAATGGCTCAACACCTCAAAATCGTATTTCAATCATATTGAAAATCTAAGTTGTAGATTATAGTTGATAATTATTTGGCTATTCCAGAACACTTATAAACGCCTGAAGCTTTCATATGACTCATTTATAAGATCGTTATCAAGTAGATTCTATAAAGTGTTAACAAATCACTCAGTGGAGAAGCCATGTCATCTATGATGACGTCTTTGTCATTTGTGTCGCTCAAGTAAGAAGCTAAAGATACGACCAATCTGCGTCTTGTAACTACGTCCCTATTTTTTGTGATTATTGGTTTATAATCTGAAGCATATTGTCACAAAGAATAACTGTCCATTATAAATTATTGCATTTAACATTTTTAAAGCTGTTTAAAATAAATTCAGGAATAAACAAACAACTTTCAAACACACAAATCCCTTCAACTTTTAATACTGAAGCTTAATTTAACTTTTCACAAAGATACATATTTACACTTTCATTATAATTCAGGAGAATTTTTCTTACACCTTGCATATATGATGCAATTTACATCTTATCTTGCACAATTTCTTAAAAATCTTCATCTGCATGAAATAAACACACTTCGAAAAATTAAATTTTTAAGAACACAAACTTTCAAGATTTTAATTCCGTTAGTTTCACTATACGACGGTAAGATTAATCTACTTTATTTACTTCTCTCAAAATAACTGAAATTAAACAAATCTTTACATCATTTGATGTTGCGAAAAAAGACGAGTCAAAGTTAAAAAGATGCTGATTCATTAATATCACATATAAAAGTCAAATGAGTATCTGAATTCATAAATTATTCATCGTGGGAAATGTCGTAAAAATTTAGAGTTTTCTTGGGAAATTATTTTCACGTTTCAAGATTTTTCTTCTTAATGTTCCACACATTTCAGGCAATGGAAGGGAATGTTACAATTTTAAAGACATAGGTTGGGAAGTTTTATCGAAGAATTGAGGTTATTTGGAACTCATTAATGTGAAAAGTCTTTGACGTGATTAATTGGCGTAAAGATCGTTAAACGCTGTATATGCTGAGCTGTTTCGGCGAAAAAATAATTTTTAAATAATATTTTATTAATGAGGCTAGAAAGTGATCCTCGTCTAATGCCTAGACTGTTGAATGATCAAAGTCAATGTCACAGTGTCAGTGTCAAAGTTCTCAGATATTCAAGGTCCCCTCGAGTTATCACAATTCACACGAAAAAAACTCAAATCAAAATATTCTCAAAATTCCCACAACTCCCACCCAATGTCACCGTCAAAAATACTTTTCTCTTAAAAATCACATCTTACATATTTTATGTATATAATGATTATTACTCAATTTGCGTGTAACGATAATTTCCTCAAGCCAAAAAGGAACGATTACTTTAGAACAAAACAAAAAACAAGTTTAAAAATATAACTCTGGAAAATTTCAACAAACGACAGATTGTTTGAAAGTCATTTACGTCCCTCAAGACCATTTTTCATGGTCACATTTTATTTTAGTACAAAGGAAAACAAGCAACAAGATTGGTAGAAGTAACAAAAAAACTAGAAAAAAAGTTTCACAATGTTTATTTTCTTTACTTTTTATTTTGTGTTGAGGTCCTTTTTTGAACTTATTTTTATGGATTTGGTGGGAGGAGAGCAGGGAGTAATGAAATAAAATTAGAAGAGAATTCTGTAGAATTTCTAATAGTTGATTTGACCAAGGCTTTAATGAAGGACACAACAGAAAGATAATCTTAATGAAGCTAATGTCAATAAAACATTTTAATTTTTAACCTTAAATTTTCATTTCATTCAGCATTTTACACTCCAGACAACCCTCAAACTTTTTCTTATCCCCAAATATGTAAAAAGTATCTCTAGTCAACTATTTTCCATCTTGTTTCCTCATAGATAAATGTAGATATGTCAGTTTTATGTTTGAAATATTGCTGTTGATATAATAATCAAAAAATTACAGAAGACCTCGTGTTATTGATCGAGGTACTTAAGCGCATTTTTGTCTTAGCGATCAGTATTTGATTATCTAATCATTTTGCGTTCACTTACAGATCATGAAAAGGTTAATAGACAGTCTTTATCATTTAACGGTTTTTTGGAATTCAAATTTTTACCTATTGAAAAAATTCGAATTTCTGAATGCACCCTGATTACAATTTTTACAACGGTAGAAAATAATTCAAATTTCTAAACGCATCCATCACGTGTTTTCATATAAAATAAAAAAAATCATTGATTAAAGTATAAATACACTGTTTTAAGACTTTTAAGTGTTCGGCCGGCCATAACTCGATAGAACTGAGCTAATAAAACAAACCCGAGCTCTCTACGATGTCTAGTTAAAAAGTTTTTCTTGCCCCGAACAGCCGAACAAAGTGCATTATTAAGCTACCTTTTCGAAACAAGTTTCAAAAATGCGCTAAAAAATGTCTTTAAGCAAAAATATGACAAAAGCAAACAAAAATCCCCAGAAAAATGTTAAAGAATTGCCGACATTCGCAGCTCTTCACATTCATCGGCATCCATACAAACATTTTTTTTTATATTATTGTCATTTATATCTGTTATGCGCACGTATAAAAAGATCAGCTAGGTCTATTTTTTTCGTACGCACATAAGTACATACAAATGTAATGTGCTTATCGCACTTGATTGCTATAGCCGGAGTATAAAGTTATGAAGTGTTATGTTCATTGCTGTTGCTTCCACATTCCTTCATTCTCTGCTTTACATATAATTGTGAAAATGAGCTTAGGCTCATTTTGGGAGGTTTTTTGAATGATTATCATTGATTAATTAAATTTAAATGCTTAAGCTGTAGATTGCTGTCAAATTTGCTTGTTTTAGAATAGCTTGTGTAGATAATTTTTTTAATGAACGTCATTCCTGAATGAACCTCGTGTATAAAATGCCACGATCATATTCTTCTCCGCTTATGAAAAGTTTCTTGCAGAACATTTTTTCCATCAACAAAAAAAAACAAGTAAATGTGCGGCAGTAATAATAACAAAAAAAGAGAGACTGCAAGTTAGGCATATTATGGTGTGCCTATGTCAGCAAAATAAAAACGAGAAAAGTATTCTGTGGAATGTCAAAGATTTTATGCGATTTTTTTCACACTCTGTTGTTGCCACTGTTATTGCCTCTCGTTATGTGGCAAAAAAAAAATTTCTTCTTTTGTGGAAAAATTTTGCGCGATTTGCTAAAAAACAAAATTTCCCCCATTTAACATCAATTGTCACATCATTAAATTTTAAAATGACGATAAATTAAGCGAATGAGTTTTAAGAAGCTTTTCATAAATTACATTTAATATGATAAATTGCGGTAATAATACCGATACTAATGATATCATGCTGTACTCTCACAGTCTCTGCCTCTATCATTTAATAAAGAATAAACTTTTTTGGTGCGGTTACGCAATTATGAGGTGAAAGATTTAAATTAAGAAATTAAGATTAATATTTTGTTTAAGGATTTAAGGATTTAGATTAATTATTTATAAACAAGTGGCATTTTTGGTAAGGTGCGAGTGGTGCAGATTAATTTTTATTAAATGAGGAATAGAGTTAAGAACTTTACGCTTAGGCATGAAATTTTGATAGCTTTAAAATAGCATCTGCTTTGCTTCAAATGAACCAAGTCTCTTAAAACACGACTTCATTAGACTTCCACGCCAGTTTTTAATTGCTTCTTTTTAATCCATACGTTTATATCACTGTTTTAAGCTTAATAAGGTCGATTACGAGATTGTTCTGCACTATAGTTTTTAACTCCTCTATTAATGCGGATCAAGAAGCTTTTTCCATGAAGCATCTTCAGAAATATCAGTTTTAATTGTTTCTCGTTTATGAGCATAATTTGCTTCATTTTAGATTTTTCTGGAGATTTATATGATTCTCGTACTCACAGTTTAAGTATCTTTTACTATTGAGGTTTAGCTATTCTTCTTAACTTGAATGCCTCATGTTGCAAAATCCAGTTTTATCTTTGCCACTTTTTGCTTACATGTAAATCTCACGTGATGGATGAGAAATATAAATATATATATTATTAAGTTTGTATGGGAAAAAAGTGGACAAGATATTCAAATTTGATTGATGATTTCAAGGAAAAAAAAAAACAATTAAAGTATGTTGGAAAAATTTTAAATTTGTGAAATTTCGAGAAAAAAAATAATAGGAATTAAAACAAGAAGATATGTTGAGGTTTCGTGTTTATCATCAAATTTATGAATTGGAAAAATTGTCGATTCCTTAAGTGAAGTTGGAAAAATGTGTTAATTGATCATCGAATTGAATAAGATTTGGATAAAGTTGCTGCTTCTTTTAACAATTGGGTTCAGATAAAAGAATAAAACCTGTCTACACCTGATGCTTGTCATACGTCAAGATCTTTCAAAGCAACATACCTGAACGAGAATTGGATTGCTGGATGTAAATAAGGTAAATAATTAATTGAAAGTCACATTCAAATTTCGATCGAGGTTATAAAGGTGATTTCTGCGCGCTCTTGTGAAGTATATGGCAAATTTAGAACAAAATTTTATGACGCAAAAAATTCTATTTATGACGCAAAAAATTCTTTTTATGACGCAAAAAATTCTTTTTATGACGCAAAAAATTCTTTTTATGACGCAAAAAATTCTTTTTTTGATGATTTCTCGTATGATTCGAACTTAAGCAGATTTGATCAAGCATTTCACATAGTAATTTGCTAGTAAATAGCAAGTGTAATGTACAAATAGTAAGTTGTTTTAATAATAACTAGTAAATTGCAAGTAGTAGAAAAGAAAGACTAGCAATTTGCTATTGAGTCTCGCTAGGGTATGGATGGAAAACAACGCAATATTAGAGGAAGTAGCTGGATCGATGCCAAAAAAATTAAACTTGATAGATTACCAGAAGACAAGGTAAATCAATTTACATATACGCATTGATGACAAATACGCTCAACATCTCAATAATTTATTTTAACAGTACGAAATTATCAAGGAAGAATTCCGTCAATCAGTAGAAGATAATTTTAATATGAATTAGAGAATCCACATTGGTCCATTTGATTTTCTGGCAATAGCTGTAAACTGAAAACATCTCATATCGATATTGTAAGTATTCCAGTAATCGAAATTATTTAAGTTTTAAAATAAATTAATTAATCTTGGTTTCAAATGAAATTTAATTTAAGAAAAATATGAAGTAGCTGGAGAATTCGACAACGAAGGAGTAGAAAAGAGCAAAGAATCAGAAGCAAGAAGTCAACGAATAATTGATATGAACAACAACAAAATTAGGGATCATCGCAGTGACAAGTTAAAAACAGTCAAAAACATAAACTTTTCTCAACTGGTTTTGAAGACGATGCAGCACAAAGATCAATCAAACGTTTTAATTCATCATCACATTCATCAGCAGGTAGCCTCTCACCACAGTTTCAAGCATTAATAATGTCATCGGAGTTGTTTGATAATTATTTTCATAAGGTAAGTTTTTTTTTTAAATTTTCAGCCAAACATTTACTCAAAACTTTTAGAATGGTCTAAAAGTATTTTTATGCCTTCACAAAGAGAAAATGCCCCAACGTCCTGCCCAAATTTTTTTTTGCGACACTAAGAGTCCTTACATTTCGTTAAAATTTGCAGCAAAGGAAGTATCTGATCTTTACACCAACGAATAATGGATATTCGAAACATAAATTTCTTTCCACTGGCTTTGACTAAGTTGTAGCACAAAGATCAATTAACCATTATAAAAACAGGGTTTACGTAAAAAGCCACGAATACAGATGTGCTGAACTCCACTTCGTTTCACTCCGTTTCGTTTATCTGTTTAAAGATTACAGTTGGTTTAAAGGTTATATGTTTGTTGAAGATCCTGTTTAGTTTTGTTTATGTCTATAGCTACGAAACAATTCGTGGCTCTCCACATAAGTCACGATTTTACTTCTATATCCACATTATCCACATTATATAACTCTTGACTGTTTTTAAGGGTAGCGAAAATAATTTCCGACCCAAAAATGATGGTTTTCTTGGGTCTTGAAAGCATAGATTAAGTCCAATTGTTAAATTTTATACAGAAAAGTCAAGCCTTTTAATACACACATTTTGACGGCATTTGAGATTTCTGATGTTCTGACCGAAATTAATAACTTACGAGGTTTTGCGTGGAAGTTAAAATGCTCTTATTTCGAGGGGAAATTTTGTCTTCTTTGCAGATTTGCAGCAGCTTGTGTCAGTTGTTATGAGAATTAGCAAAAAGTTGATTTTTTTTCATCTAATAAGATTTAAATTAGTTTTTTCTGCCTTTTGGCAAATCTTCATTTTTTAGCTTTATTTGTATAATGCATTATGGGGCAAAATGAAAAAAAATCGATGATTCAAAATTTTTTTTGACTTTTTCTAGTTACAATTTCTGGAGTATTTTTTCTTGTAAAGAACATCAAAACTGGATTATGTTCCAAATTTCAGGTCATTTGGTGCTGTTTTTGCGATTCTGTGGCTGTTTGAAGTTGGAAAATGACGAAAATTTGAGTTTTTTCATGCATTACTTAAACTGCAATATTTCTACAATGGCTTCTACAAGTATTATACATCATTTTAAAGGTATTAATCTAAGCTAGAGATAACCGAAAACAGAATGCAAAAATATGTATCCTAAAAAAGGTTAGAGCTCTTTATGTCCATCAAAAAGCCTACAAAAGTGCAACCAGCATAACAAAACTAGAAAACAAGAGCTTTGCACTGATGTATGGTTTATGGGGGGGAAAATGGCCGTTTAGGACAGTTGCGGCACGTTTAAAGATATTTTTCATAGGATTTTCATATACTTTGTACTATATCGGAACCAAAACTACATATTTCCAAACTTTGTGTTACATCAAAATAAAGCTCTTATATGTTACTATTAGGAACTGAAAACCTTTTTTCAATATCTTTAGCCATCGTAGAGAAATTGCAGTTTAAGTAATGCATGAAAAAATTCAAATTTTCGTCATTTTCCAACTTCAAACAGCCACAGAATCGCAAAAACAGCACCAAATGACCTGAAATTTGGAACATAATCCAGTTTTGATGTTCTTTACAAGAAACAATACTCCAGAAATTGTAACTAGAAAAAGTCACAAAAAAATTTTGAATCATCGATTTTTTTTCATTTTGCCCCATAGTGTAATGTTTCAAATTAATTTGAAACTTAAAAGATAAAACTCAATCGAAAATTAAAGATTCTGTGAGAGGGGGTGATCATAGTCGAGGTATCAATTTCTTCATAGCGATATATAGCATATGTCTAGCTCAGGCGCGTAGCCAGGAGGGTCTTGTCTCCCGCTCTTAGACGTTTTGAACCGTAGCGAGAGTACGGTCTAAAACGCTTAAGAAGGGGACAACGCTCTCCTGGCTACGCGCCTGGTCTAGCTTTTTGAATACATCAATCAATGTTGCTTATGTTGTGTTTTAATAAACTCAAGGGTCAGACACTCCAACAGAATTGTGAGGATTGTACAATCCTTACAATCCCTACAATTCTTTTCATATAAGGATTTTGAAGAATTGCACAATCTTTACAATTCTGTTGGAATGTTTGACCCTTGAATAAACTCTATCGGCCTTTTTCATTAAGTTGGATTATCCTCATTTTAGGATTATCTATTTCTTCGATGTAAGGAAAATTCAAATAATTTCTTTCTGATGTAGAATTAATTGGTAAATAATAATCAAGCTAGTTTGAGAAAAATCATTTTTCTTGTATAGTGAATATCGCGAAAAAAAAATTTTAGTATATGGATGATCCTGAGATTATCCTAGGATTATCCACATAATTATTCTAAAATGTTAAAACTGGGTCCCACCAAGATTGAAAATTCGGATAATCTTCAGGATTATCCTAGGATAATCTAAGGATAATCCATATACTAAAATCATTTTTTTTGCTATATTCACTATCCAATAAAAAGATTTTTTCTCAAGCTGTTCTGATTATTATTGACCAATTAATTCTACATCAGAAAAAAAAATTATTTGGATTTTCCGCGCATCGAAGAAATAGATAATCCTAAAATGAGGATAATCCACCTTAGTGAAACAGGCCGTATAAATTTATTCCTACTTAGTCTCTGATTCAGTCTGTCACCTTGATAATAATTTTTCTGTAGAAAATTGTAGCCTTATTCACATCATTTTCACTTATTCAGAAATTTCAATAGGATATTCTCAGTAAATTATAACGAAAAAGTCATTTCACTATTCCTTTGAATTCTTTAAGTATTAAAAGAGAAAATTCTTGAATTCATTCATATCAAATTAATTGTAATTTCTCGTCTGAATTAATGTGTATATAATTTTTATCCTAGACAATGATGAAAAATAATCTAAAGAATAAAAATTTCAAGGACATTTTTATTAAAATATTTTTCCATCATTAAGTAAAGCACATTGTGTGCTGTATCCTTAAAAATTTAGATTGATGAGTGAAATGTTTCTTATAAGTAATATTCATAAGCTTACAACTCTAGTCGTTAGTGATTAATTATTGTATGAATTACTTTTCCTAATTTGTAGATACTACACATCCATATGGCGAGGCACAGTTATACCAAATATTTTATTATCAACCTCCATAAAAATAGAATTATTTATGTTTCATCTTTTGCCATGATGTAGTAAGTGTGAAAAGGGAGCAGCCGTAAAAATGAAATATGAAAATCTTCCCCAAACCTAAAGAATATATTGTAATAAAAAAGAAGAAGGGATGACGAAGTGAAGGGGGAGGGGGAATAAAAGCAAGCAAGTTAATTGCATCGTATGCTCTATATGTGTAACTTTGAAGATTGCGAAATTGCTGTCATTAAACTTATTTCCCTTATGTGCCTTTTTTTAAAGCTTGGTTAAATATTTTTTGCTTCTTCGTTCCTCCTTTTTCCTTCATAACATGACAACAACACATTTATGGATGAGAAAATATTCTGATATGCTTTTAAAAAAAATATTTTTCACTATCATTTTGCTGTTATGCAGCAATTTCTTTAATCAACATCATCACTATGATGTCTGTGTACGTGAGAATGTTTGTACAGATCATTTAATCTGTTATTATGGTTGAAATGTTAAGCGCTATTTTGCATTTTAGTTAAATGCAAATTTCTTTTTTAACTTTTTAAATTATGTAAAAAGAATTTAATAAACTGCATCAGAGATGCACGGGTGACTTCTTGAAAGGGTTGTGGATGGATGTGCTGATTTTATTGATAGTATTTTGGCAGACATGATTTTTGGTTTGAAGGTATGGTGATTGAGCAAAGTGGAATCTTGGGTGTCTAGTCGTATATAAGCGAATATGCCAGTGCGAGAATTAGGCCTCTGTGACGTGAGTGGTAAGGCAATAGACCGGATATCTGTAACCCTCTTTTGTGAGGACGTTGGTTTGATTCTTACCAGAGACCCATCACGAGGATTCGCATAATACTCATGACATTACAGTTTGACAACTCTGTCCCTGGATGTCTTTGATTATATAAAATAGATATATACTCAAGATCACGATGAATTTTCAACCTTTACACCTGTTTGGAGACTTTAATTACATAATGTCCTACTTTTCGTTTGAATGATAATTCTAATTTAAGCTTAATTGTTAGCTTTTAAGAAATCCTTTAAGATACAACAAAAACAGTGATTCCTCCCCAGATTCCTTGAACAGGTCGACATGCAAAGAAAATTAAAGTGACATCCCTGAATTTATGACATAACAAAGTAACACTTTTGTCATCTGCAACACCATCAACCTGCAAAATTAAACTTTTAATGCAGAAAAATTCTTATTATTCATCATAGTTGATGTTGTTAAGCTATGCATTCTATTATTATATGCATGCAAAGTGAGCACAATGGATGTCATGATAATAATGACGATGGCATTGAGATTTTCTGTTTTTTTTTTTAATGTTTAAGAATTTCACCAATGAATCGGAAGAGATAAGTAAGGAAATTTCTTTAAAATTTTAATAAAAATTTATGTCATTTAACTTTCTTTAACTGAGCTTAGGAAATTATTTTTTGAATTTATATAATTTTAATCGTTTGTCG